CCCATGATTTTAAATTTTATTCGGGTCAGTCCTATGATTTTAAAGTTTATTCGGGTCAGTCCCATGATTTAAGTTTTTGTTCGGGTCAGTCCCATGATTTTAAATTTTGTTCGGGTCAGTCCCATGATTTAAGTTTTTGTTCGGGTCAGTCCCGTGATTTAAATTTTGTTCGGGTCAGTCCCATGATTTTAAACTTTGTTCGGGTCAGTCCCGTTTTAAATTCCTGTTCGTTGGAATCATGTTGCGGCCGAATAACACGGGTAAGTATTTGGTGTCTAGTTCTTTGTCTCAAGTTTTTCCAAAACTCAGACAAAGAGGGGCAAACTGTAGATACCAAAATTTTAGTGTAATTTCATTTACTATTTATTATTTAGTTTTATTTGTCGTGTTAGTTTTATTCATTTTTTAGTTTTTAGTTTTTTAGTTTTTTTTATTTTATTATTATTATTTTTATTTTTATTTTTAAGTTTTTAGCATAGAATTTCTCGGAAAGAAAAAGAAAAAAAGCATTCAGAAATTATGCTTTAGTTGTTTTTGATTTAAATTCAATGTTTTCTTAAAAAAATAAAAAAAAAAGGAAAAGAGCCGCATGCAGCAGCGTGAAAACCAGACCATTTGCTGGTAAATCGGATGGCTGAGGATATGGGGGGAACCAACCCTTCATCCTCACCTTTGAGGTGAGGGTTTAGGGGGTATGGTTCCCCATATAAAAGAAAAGGGACGCCGCAATAGGAGAGGGGAGGATAAGAGCAAGGGGTCGGAGGAGCAGAAAGAAAAACTGACGGGATAGCTTGCTCTGAGGAAAAATTTTCTGCTTAGATCTCTGGCTGTTGAAGGGTGACTGAAATCATCTCCAAGTCCAATAGATCGAAGCCTAAAGTCATAGGTTCTCCATTACTAGAAACCGCTGCGGCAAAATTTCTGGGCTTCGTTCCAGCAATCCCCATGACTTCCTTGAAACACCTTGCCTTCATTTGATCACGCTAGCACCCTCAGTTCGGTCGGATCGCAGTTGCAAGTTCCAGACTAGCCGAGGCAGAAATTTCTGCTGCGAAGTTTCTTTGGTTCGTTCAGCGAACGTCGAGCCCACCTTGGAGAATTTCCACGTTCGTTTGAGGCCCAAAGCCGTTGAAAGGTATCCCATGTTTCCCTTTTTCCTCATCGATTCTTGACAGTGTAACAAGCATGCCAAAATGTTGTTTCATTTGTTCTTGCCGTTTGCATTTCTCTTGCTATTTCCATCTAGAGATTTTCTCCGTATTTTCTTGTGATTGAATGTGATATTTGAGTAAATAAGAATTGGGCATCATTGGAAGTTGCATTATGATTTCATTTTGTTTCTGAACTTGGCTATTTGGATGGAAAATTTTGTTGGAAACTAACCCGAAAGAAAGCTTGTAAAAGGTTTTTGAAGTTACGAACATTTGCCAGATTTCTGTACGCTATCTTGTTCTGAATTTTTGTGGTTTTTGTGTTGAGAGCTCAAAACAATTTTTTGGTGATATGGCTACATAGGCCAGTTTTCGTTTGGTTGAAGTTTAAGAGCACAATAGCTGCTACAACAAGCATGAAGCACTCAGCTTGTTGCAGCAGTACGTGCGGACAGATTGTGTGCCTTTTGGTTTGCTGAAATGGTGGCTCGGATAACATGATTCCTTTTGGCTTATTGTTTGGTTGAGATGCATAAACTGTCAAACCTTTTCTTTTGCCGCTGGTCTGTTTGAGCCTGTTCTGCAGCTTTGATATGTGTGTTTTTTGATGATTCATTTGCCATTGTTTCTTTTTTCCTGTCTTGCGTAGCTTGGGCAACAGTTTTGAAATTAAAAATCAGATGTATGATGTGGCTTGGATTTCATTTCTTTTCGGTTTGCGCTTGGGTAGAACCAATCTAGGAGCTGCAATATTCGAGATGGAAGGGTAAAATCCATAGGTTTTATTTGCATGAATATGCTTCAGCTGAAGGAGAAATGTTGTAGAAATAATGATGGCTGGAATTTGCAGAATCCATGAGCTTCTTCATGTCTATTTGCGCGATGTCCTCCTGTGTCTTTGCTGGGTTGGATGTCCAAGTTATGTTTTGTGTTGTTTAGTTTAAAGGTTTGGATGTTGGATCAAGGAAGCTTTGGTTAAGGCATGTGATTAAATCTGAAGTTGGTGTTTGCCAATGAAACAAAAAATGCAGCAGTCTTGTTTGTTTCTTTATTGCAGAAAGCCTGCTACGTGATTGCATGGAACTTACATGAAATAACTCTCTGGATTGCACTTTGGCCCCCCAAGTCTTCCCTTGTTTCACTATGGCCCAACTATGGGCTAATCTCTTGCAATTAAGTCCTAAGTTGATTGCAATTTGAACCGTTATTTGGCCTTTTATTATTTTTGGAACCTTTGAAGTTCTTAAATGTTTTAATTGGGCTTGAATGATTGGTTAATGTTTGCAATTGGGTCCTTGGTAGTTTTCTTTTTCTAGAAATTTGATTCATAGTTTACTTTTCTTGGAAATTATGAATTATTTGGTTTCATTTAAGTCGCAATTAGGGAAGAATTTGGTGGTTTGTTAGTACCCCTTTTTGAAGTTTCTAAGGTGTTCTGAGTTTCCTTTTTGCCTTTTATTCTACTTATCTTTAAAGTGGTGCATTAATCCCTTACTTTGATGGTTTTAGCCCAAGTTATCTCTTTCTTTGGTGACTCTATCCCAAGTTAAGTCTTGTTCACTTTACTAACATCACAAACGGGGAGGTATAACTTCTTTTATCCTTTTTTGTCTCTCCTCTATGTGATCCAACGTGCTAAGTGAGAATTGCATGTCTACTTTGCTTTCCTTGCCTTTCCTTAAATCCTTTCATTTATTTCATTTACTTTTGCTTTTATTAAGTTATTCTTTTATGGGGTATGTGTACACCTCTTGGCTTGTAATAGATAGGGTTTGGAGAGCATTTTTATTCATTTTTCCTCTTCCCCATTTGTTTTAGTTAGCAAATGTAATAGGTTCATTAGCTTGATTGCTTGCTTTTGTTGCTACATGTTAATTTGCTTTATTAGGCTCTTGCATTTAGTCGAGCATGCTAAGTGTTATGTGCTACGTGTTTATAGGTGATTGGCATGTCTACTTGCTTTATATAGTCATAGATGAATGTGATGGATGAATGCGTCACCGTGGCTAGTCCAACGCTGGCCATGGTCTTTCCCCTCGAGCTCTCGCAAGTCCAATGCTTGTGAAAGAATTTTAGAAAAGGGCTAGTCCAATGCTAGACCCAATAGGTTGTCCCCTCTCGTTAGTACATACTTGCATGTCTCACTACATTTCATGCATTTTTCTTAGTTTTCTAGCATTTGGCATGCCCCTCTAACCCTTTCCCTTTCATTTTAGGCTTTTTGCATCTACATGCTAGTTATAGGGTACATTTGCTTGAGAGTTACCCCTTAAATATGGGATATAGACAAGTGTGGCTTTTCTAAGCCTTAGCACGCTTGTATTCCCTCTATCAAAGGGAAAATTAAAATCACAAAGTTAGGAGTCATTCCTGTACCCGACTTGATGCATTCCTCTATGTTCATACACTCTCATTTTTATCATATCACTTTCTCACCTTCTTTATCCACATTCTTTTACTACTTATATTTTTTCTCAATCCACATGCCATGTTTGTACATTTTTCTTTCCTTATCACTTATTTATTTTCTACCTCACAAATTGCACCCAGTTGCACTTATATGCATTTACTACTATTATACCATATTTTCATCCATTTGCACACAACACCTTTATTTGCTCAATTGACACACATGCACTTTTCTTACATTTGCACACATGCACTTTTCTTACATTGGCACACTTGCACTTACATTTGTATTTTTATTTTTATTTTATTTTGTATTCTTCTTACATTTTCACACTTGCACTCATATTTGGGTCTTCATTTGCATTACCCGTGACCTCTATGAGAGTTTTCCTTATTGGCCATCACAACTCATGTGATTGGGACCAAAAAGCCTCATAAGAGACATTTTAGATTTAGGATTGCATTTTTCTTTTTTTTTCGCATCCATTAGTCATATCCAACATGCAACACATATTTTGGGTAGAAGAATTAGGAAAAGAAGGGCTAAGTCACGCAACTAGCTTTGGCTAGGGTAAGGGAGTGCCTTAGGCTTTGCCTTTGCCTTCTCCCTTATCAAATGTGACCCCCGATCCCTTTCTTTTGTTACGTAGACCTAAAAAATTCTTTAAAAAGGGTTTGATTACTTTTCTTTCCAAAAATAAAATCATTTTTTGGGTGACTTGGTACACCCTAACTCTATACCAAGTGGCGACTCCTTTTCTATCTAAAGCCCTTTGTTTGGCCAAACCGTCGCATTTCACAATTCCACGGCCTTTTATTTTCACACACGTTCACATACATATCTCATACACTACTTTCACACATCAAAAAGTGGGGCGCGACAGAAGTCATGCAGTAGGTCAGCGGCATTCTCTTGGACATACTGAGCCTAAATTACCTGTTTAATCCTACCCGTGCTTCAACCCTATTACAACCCGCATAAAGACCCTTTGATTTTTGCATGAAATTTGGTTTTAGTGGTGGCGATGTGATATATTAGCAAGCATATGGTAACATCATTGTGTGGTACGAGTGACCCTTTGTGTTTCATGTCGGAGTGGCGAGTAATCATATTCCATTCTATAAGAGAGGAGTAAGTCTTGCAATATTCTGAATTTGATAACATTGTTAGAGGAATAAGATATTTGTACTCGCATGGTGGACTGCTACATGTGTGTAAATGTGATTGTATCTCTGAGCTTTAAGATGCTTGAGAACAAGCATTGTCTTGGTGTGGGGGGGATTTGATAGGACGATAATTGAATGTTTATTCATTGGTATTTGGTCTTAATTTTGGTCACTTATTGTGCAAGACACTGAATTTCTACTCAGATTTGGTATTTGTGTTATTTGCAGGCGAGTGGTGTTAAAAGTGGCAAAAAGAAGTGAATTTCCAAAAGACTAGGCCTTCTCTGGCGTGCCCATGCCAGACAGGACAGAGCTGCGTGAAAAAAATGGACCGCGGGTCCTATCCCTGGAATTACCACCCTTCTTTGGAAACAAATTCTGAACCTGCGTGAGATGAGAAAGGAGAGTAATAAAAAAGCAGCCTTTTGGCAACAAGTTGAGGAGAGAAATAAGGAAGCTTTCCTTTTGAAAGAAAAGTTCCAATTAGTCAAACAAAAGAAGCGGCGGCGCAAATAATATAAAGAAGACAGCAATAGACTAGGGATTATCTGGGTCTTGGACTTTTCTTTTCTCTGCTTTTGCTTTTATCATTGCTAGTAGCCTAGCGGCCGCATCACTTTCACTTCGTTTTTCGTTCAGCAAAATCTCCATGAAAACTCTGAATTGCTTCGTCGTTATGTGGCAAGGCTAATCTCTTTATCTAGTTGAGGAGTAATCAAGGGCCGGAACACAAACAATTGTGAGATCATTTTTTTTATTATTCTAAATTCTGCATTTGTGGGTATTTAATTATTCTCTAATTTAATAGTCTATTATTGTTTGGATTTATTGAATCAATGTGGCCAGTTGTTCAGTTGTCTGAATAGTATACTGTCAATTAGGACAAGAGTGTGTATCACTTGATTGTCTTAAATTAGTGGCGAACGGCACAATTTCATTGCCTCGCAAGCAGTCTAATCTGAGTCGTGGGAATAATTAATCTAGTTTAAATGAACCTGAATTCGAATTCAATCCGATTTCAATTCGAAAAATGGACATTTACCGATTTAACCGAATTTCAGAAAACAAATTCTTTGGACCATTTTTTATCAGCAAATAGCAATACTATTACACTAACTGAGCCACAAACAATGAAACAAACATAAACTAATGATGAGTACTGATATTCCACAATTTATAACACACATAATAATCGGATCACTGATCCACAAATTACAAACTGATGAAACTAAAATTCACACTCCACAGTCCATAAAAGTATTAACTCATTGAAATTAACTGGTCCACAAATAAAATTCATGAAACAACACTCCAAAATTATAAATCAATCTAGCAATCATAACTCAACAGAGATAAAAGTCTAAATTAACTTGTCCAGAAATGATAAACTACAATCCACAATCCAGAAAGCCAATTGTCCAAAAATTGCAACTTTCAAGAAGAGTTGATTCAACTCTCAAAATGCAAACTTCAGCATTTGTGACCTCTCAAAGGTCAATTATAGTTGGTTCAACTCCGGTCTTCAGCAACTCTGCAAGAACAAACAAAATTTATCAAGTATCATAAAGGCAATTATTAGAAACAAAGAAATACTTCAAAATTTGCAATAAAAATTTTGATAGCTTACCAGATTCGAAGGCTTCAAGCTCTTCCAGATTTTCTTCTACGTTTAATTCTGTCTTGGAGGACCGAAACCAATCTTGAGCACATATTAAATCTTGCACAATTCTAGGAGTCAAAGAACTCCTAAATGTATCAAGAACACGACCTATGGTACTATAAAAGCATATTCGGAGGCCACGGTAGAAATTGGGACTGCTAACACATCACGAGCAACTTTGGAAATGATTGGAAATTTAAGGCTATTGGCCTTCCACCATAACAAGATATCAAATCTCTCATCATCTTGCTCACACTCCTCATTCAAATATGAATTCACTTAGAAAATGAAATACGAGTTTAGCACTAATCAGTAATCAAGTAATCAACTTAGTCAAAAGCATAATAATGACAAGCAATTATTTCCTGGCCTTGGCACTTGGACACAATCATGACAAGCAATCATTTTGCTTGTTTGTCTAGAAGTAAAAACCACTTCTTTAAGCATCTGAAGTTCTGAATATATTTATTTTATATTAAACTTTATTCGGAATTTTGAATTTGAAAACGGTAATATTTTACCGTTTTACTGAAATAAATTCGAATTCGGTAAATCCAAATTCAAAACTCCAAAATCATTTTCGACCCTAATTTGATTCTTACTAATTACCGACTTACCGATCGAATTACCGAATTACCGACTTTGAATTACCAAATTCAAATCGATTTCAATCGGTAATTTGGTAATTACCGTAATTGCTCACCCCTACATAACATGCACTTTTTTAACAAACTGATTCATTACAACACTGCATTACAGTACTGCATGAAGAAAATGGAAATTGGTACCTTAATTTCTGCTTTTAAGAAGCTTAACTTCCACCAGATGAAGACAACTTCACTTGAGTTCCACTGCCTTCTTCATTGTCCCGTTTCTTAACATTTAGATTTAAGACATGTTTTCTAAGGTTTTGTAGCTACAAAGCAAGATACATCTGTTCAATCAGCCTTGTCACATCGCTTATCATCAGAAATTGGTGCCAAATTACTTCTTCTATTGGCGCCTAGGAGTAATAGTTTTTTAATCACCTTCATTGAACATTAAATTTCTGTTATTCTAGTTAAATGTAATTACCAACCTCCAGATGCATTTGTCAATTTAGTTAACGCCAGTCATCTAAGCCATCCTCTAAGGACAAATAGGTCATTTCAGCGCTCTGCATGTCAGCAATGGACCCCAATACTCTGCCAGGGGAGCTAGGTGAAATTTTTAAAACCTGGAGGGGTCTCAATGCAAGTGTCAGAAACCTTAGGGGAGGTTTGTGAAATTATCCCATATTATAATCATGATTCAAAGACTCAATGGGGGCTAAGGGTGGCAATAGGGCGGGGTTGAGGCGGGGGATCCTTCCCCCACCCCCCGCCCCGTTGTCAAATAACTCTCCCCATCCGCCGCCCCATCCGTCGCCCCCTCCCCCGCCCCATTTCCCCTGCGAGGGAAGAAATCAACTTATCATAAAATGTTTATTTACAATAATACAATTTTAAACAATGTTAAATAAGATTAAAATGTTATCAAGATGGAAATAAAGCATAACAAGTCAAGTTACATTCAGTGCGGAGGAAGGGAACCGATCGAAATAAAAAAGTGTTAGGAGCAAAACAGGTTGGAATTGGATAGTTTAGTCTTTGGGGGGGCGTTAGAAACAAATCAACAATAGTTCAAGAAATTTCTTCAGTTGTTGTGGCAGGCGTTGACACTGACTAGCGATGTACTTGTAAATAAGGGTGCAACTTTAGGAAATTTAGAATTGTATTATATATATATATATTTTTATTGTATGCGGGAGGCGGGGCGGGTGTATGTTTCCCCACCCTTGCTCCATTTTAAGGTGGGGGAAAATATTTTGCCCCTGCCCCATTTCTACCCCGGCGGTGCGGGTGCCCGCGGGCACACGCCCCCATTGCCATCTTTAATGGAGACTCACGTTCTGAGATGCTTTGGAGTCGCATCCAAGGAGGAAAACTCTTGAGAAATTGAAAAGACTCGGTCAACTTGGACCGAGTTGTCTTTGAGATGACTTGAAACCCGAGATCCACGCAAGCCATCCCCAAGCTGTTTCGTGTCGAGAAGATGAACCGGTATTAGAAATTGCAGCATTAGTCCTCCTAGTTTCTTTTACTTTTAATGTTGGCTCCCAAGTTTTTGTACTTTGTAATATTTCCCTATACTTTACTTTTATGTTTTCAATTAGGTCCTTAATAGTTAACTACTTAGCTATTAGTTTAATTAGTTTGTCATTTGTTAAGTTAAGTTGTAAGTAATTTTAGTTTTTTAAAGATGATATAACCCATATTATTATTGTATTATTATTTTTATTTTTTCCTTTATTTTTTTTTATTTTTGTCTTAATTACTCTTGATTGTTACCAAATGTGATCGAGTGGGCCACAAGTGTGTTTTTTCATGGCTTTTAAATGGAAGCTTTGGAACTATTCATCTTGTTTTTATTGATTTTTTTCTATTTATCATGCTATGTTTAGGTGTTTTATTCTACTCTAATTAATTAAAATGCATGTTATGTGTTTAGCATAAATTAACTCATTTTTTGCCCTTAAAATTAGAAGAATAAAGTTAAACTCGCAATCAGTTTTTACTAGGTATAGGGGGATGCTTGAGGGTAAATTTTGACCTTCCCCCATCACAAATGTAACTCTTGAATTCATTTTCTTTTGCTTATTTATTTATTATTTTTTGTTTAGCATAATTTTTATATTTTTAATAAATTTTCACAATTTTTAGAATACTAGATGCTTTAAAATATGCATCTCATTGAGATCACAACTGATATGTCAAGATGGATGTGAAATAGTAACAATTGTGACCACGACCGCTACTTTGAACTATGATTTTAATGAATTTTAGGGCCCATACTTTTATAGTTCAAATTAGAAATGGAATTGTGCTGGCAGATAGATGATACCTAAAGAATTTAAGACCTTTAGTTGATTTTTAATTTTATTTTTTTGGGTAGAACCATTAATTGATTTCTGAGAGTTGTTTAAGTTATATATTTATGTATTGAAGGATGTATGCAGCGTGAGAACCAGAGGAAACATTTGTCACTTTTGCCTCACTTTTAGAATTTGTGGAACTATTGTCAGATTCCCATGACTATGGTGCCTTCATCTTCAGCACTTTTATGCCCCTGCATCTCTTGCTTTACCTCTTGAGTGTCATACCCAGTTTTCCTTTTTAGTGATACTTAACGTTAAAGATTAAGAAAGACAACAGCACATATCTTGCCATGGTGAAAATTTTAGACTCTGCTGATATTGTTGAAGGAGAGTATTGAGGATTTATGCTTTGTGGTCTTTGACGTTGGGCGTTACACATTATGGCCCCTAAGTTTTTCTTCATGCAGCACTCATTGAATCTAATAGATGAAATTTAACTTGAACAGTAATAATAAGAATAAGTAATTAAAATTATATGAATTGCACGTAGTGAAAATGAAGCAGTCACTCCTCAGTGAATAATGTTTAGCACCAGTATTAAATGGTCGGTAGTATTTTAAAGAGAATCACCGCTAACATTGAGCTTCTTATATCCTTTGCTTGAGGATCATAGATGGAGTTGCCAAGCTGTGCCCATAACTGTCTCATGCATTATAAGAATTGGTTTTCTTCTCTTGTCAACTTTAACTTTTTATAGGTTGCATAATATCTATAAAAATTGTGAATATCTTCTCTTTATTTAGGTCAAATATTGTGCTAAATGATAGATTTTATTTATATTTTGTATTTGATGCTATTTGTGGGAATTAGTGACAAAAAGAAATTAAAGTGGGCAAATTTCCAGAAGACATATATCCAGTTTTGGAGAGTTCGGGATTCTCACGTGCACAAGTTTCCAATCTTGAATTCTCGCTGAAGCTTTGGACGAGACTTTACTCTAGGCGCAAGCTTCCAATTTCTATTAGAAAACTTATTAGTTCACTATTGTCTATTTTAGAAATTCTTTTCCTATGGGAATTGGGTTATTATTTTATAGTTTAAAAAATAGGAAAAGAGTTAGAAGTAGGGTTCGGCTAGTTCTCTCATCTGCTGACTGCTACATCAATTTTTTTTTATTCATCTTTTTACTGGAATTTTCTCAATGAGGAGCAACTAAACCCCTTTTCTAGTCAAAGCTAAAGATTTGGTTCTACAAATAATTGTGAAATCGAACTTATTTTAACTGTTTCTCTTATTTATTGGTATTTGTAAGCTTTGTGTATTTCATTGTGATTAATTAGGCGTGCGATATCTGATTATTACAATAGTTTATTGCCAATTAAAATAGTTGAATTCATAATTGTGGCTGAGTACACATTGAAGAGCATTGGAAGAAGATAGCAAGAATACCCCTTCCCAGATTATTAAGTTGATATTGCATGATACTATTTTCAAGAAGTGGACAAAAACAAAATCTTGGGAAAGAATAAGTTAAGTTGGTGGGAAAAGAAGCCCTCAAGTCCTTCAAGTGAACCGAGGAGCTGGTGGGATAAGAAACCCAAGCTCAGTCTTTTAAGGGAAACCAAGATTGCAGGGTATAGACAAGTTAATTAGGGTAACAATGTCCTGACGGATTTTGTTCTCAGGTTTCTTTCTAGGTTAATAGATGATTTGAGTTACGAAGTGTGTTCTGATGGTATTCTTTTTTTATAATTTGGTTCTTCTACCATGATATTCCGCATGTATGATCACTTGTGCATTCAGAAATCTAAGATGCGGTACTGGCTGGAACTGCTTCTGCAGGTTTGAGATAGACGAAATTTTGATTTACAACATATTATTTGTACTATTTCCACCTAACTTGCCAATCTGAACGCACAAGCAATTTTCCATAACGACTTTCTGGTTTAGCGTGAGGAAGAATAAAAATTTCTTGAATTAGTGGCAACCATTATTTATGAACTTGGCCTTTTTATACACACACGCACACACAAAATTACTTAAACACTAGACTAAATGTCTATTCTGTATGAATTTGAGTGGTATTGCCTGTTTGCTTACTCGTTTCTATAACATTTGTGTCGAACATGAGAGTAGCAAGTTCTGAACGAAGCTGGATATTTACCATCGAACCCTGAAAAGTATCCTCTAGGGGGCATAATCACAGCAATTCAAAATGCTTTCCATGCAACATCGGAACTCCAGTGCAAAGAGAGTGCAGTTGAGGAACTCCATTTGTGCTTCTTTAAGGATTTCAAGGCCTGTTCTTGCCTTACTTGGTTTTACTAAAAGGTTGGCTTTCGATCTTGTTACAATTTTCTGGGAGTGTTACTGGCTTTCTTTAAACATTTATGGTACTTCTATGCATAAATGCACATAATCCTGCACTCATTATTGTTTTTTTTTTAAATTGAAATTTTATTATTTTATAAAAATTTCGGCAGAGTTTTCCCTTAAAAAATGATGAAACTCCCTGCCATCAATCCACAATTTGACAATAAATTTACAACCTAGTGAAAGTTTAAACATTTAAAAATTGAAACTAAGATTAAATTTTCCGTTTTCCATATCAGGATGTCTTCTAGTGAGTCTGAAGGATGATCTTTGAAGATCAGCGGTCAATCTTCCCCCCTTGATGTTCTTCTAACAGCCACTTTCATCTCCATTGGCCTTTCCTGCTTCTTATTCCATTCATGCCAGACACCATGTATGAAACGTAGGAAATCCAAATCGATCTAATCTAATAGCCCCCCTGACCAATTGCAGCAATTCTGAGAATGTATTAAACACATGACCTGCGCTAGAGTCAGCACCAAAATTTGCCAGACGATCTGCTGGTGCGTTTGCTTCCCTGTAGCAGTGTGTGATCGAGTTGAAATACTGCTTGAACATCATCAACTCATCCAGATCTCTCTGTAAACGCCAAGGACAAGCACTAGTCCCTTGAACAATCTGAACCAGGGTGAGAAAGTCCACCTCTAAGTGTAACTCCAAGCACCCTCGAATCACACAATGTCTAACGCCCCATAGCAACGCTCGAAGTTCCGCCTGCATGCTGGTTATCACCCCGAAGGGCTCCGCGTAGCCGAATACAAAATTTCCTCGACTATCCCGCACAAGCCTATCCCCCCACTCCTTCCTGGGTTCCCCCGAGAGCATCCATCTGAATTCAACTTATAGCCTCCACGTGGAGTTACCCAGTAAACTGGCCTAATAACCATCCGCCTTTGATGACTACCCAAATCGAGAAGCAACCCTTCCCAAGTAGGGGTAGAACACTACACCCCCGGGAACCGTGACTGAAGCAAATCATGCAGAAACTGAACAATTCGAGTCACCATAACCCCGATCCTCATCTTTTGATCTTCAAACACCCCTTCATTCCTAACCTTCCACAAAACCTAGCATACCACCGAAGGAAGTATATTCTGTAAAAACTTTACACGGTCATTAGTCCCCCTCCTTAACCAGCAATACCACACCATGTGACGCACCGTATGCACCCCACTAAACTCACCAGCAGTACTCTCGAAGTGACGCCAGACCAATCGTGCCCCTTCTCCTGAGCAAAACACATGATTCAAGTCCTCCTCTTGGGGATTCTGACAACACAAGCATTTAGATGGGCCACAAACCCCAAACCTCTTTAGGCGATCCATAAGAGGGAGCCTCCCCTGTAGTAGTCGCAGCATAAAGAAAGAAACCTTGACTGGAAGACCCTGCTGCCATATATGGCCAAAAAGCCAAGAGCTGTCATTGGATTGACGGATTAATGAGTAAGCCGATACAGTGGAAAAAACACCCGAGTTCGTCAATGCCCATACCATTGTATCATTGCCCCTATCGGTAGGAGGGTTAATCTCCAAAACCTGCCTAACCAATTCTCCATCCAAGAATTGATGGAGCATGTCCACATTCCAGGCCCGCCGATCTATAAAATCAACCACCGAATGATCATAAAAGACCTCCACCTTGTCGTAAAGCGCACCTGACCCCATCCAATTATTATGCCAAAAATCCAAAGCCTCCCGAACTACCCAACTAATATTCTCCTCTCCAAAACGCTGCATTGTGACCATCCTCTGCCAAGCTTGGGATCCCCGATGCCCAATATCAGCAAGACAAGGGTGCTGGCCTGCGCAATACTTCTGGGACATAAACTTTGCCCATAATGATTGTTGTTGCCGAAATTTCCACCAGAGTTTAATGAAAAATGAGTCGTAGACCTGCTTCAACCCCCGTAGGCCTACACCCCCTTCATCCTTCGACCGACATAGATCTGCCCAACGTATCCAATGGAACTTGTCCCCTGAATTCGAAGATCCCCACAAGAACTTGGCGAACAATTTCTCTATGACCATCAACATCCCTTTTGGAGGAGACGCGGCTGCCAGCAAGTGAATTGGCATAGAGGCTAACACGCTCTGAATTAACACCACATTGCCTCCTGGCGATAAAATCTGGTTCTTCCAACTCAAAATCCGATTCGCCTCCCCAATGTATGTATTCGTATAGTAAACCTTCTTGCTTTTTCCGGTATACAAGGGACAACCAAGGTACCGTATCGAAAAGACTCGTTTATTATACCCCAGTATCTGGTTAACAACCGCTGTCCTCTGAGATGGTGCCCGTGGATGAGTAAGGAAACAACTCTTCTGAGGGTTGATCTGCTGACTTGATGCCTCACTATAATCATCTAGAACCCGTTTAATCAGACGTAGGGATGACTTACCCCCACTGGAAAAGATAATCACATCATCGGCGAATGCCAAATGCGTAATTATAGGACAATGAGGAGGTACTTCAAACGGAGTAAATCCCCTTTGTGTGTGTAGCGTGTTAAGGGCTCTAGACAACACCTCAGCTCCAATAACGAATAAGGATGGTGAAATGGGATCCCCTTGCCGTAAACCTAGTGAAGATCTGAAAAAGCCATGCAAACCGCCATTAACAAGTACCGAGAACCACACATTCGATATTAAGCGCCAGATCATGTCTATCCAGGTCTCACTGAATCCGAAATACCGTAGCACCTGTAGGAGAAAGGGCCATGAGACTTTATCATAAGCCTTCATCATATCTAACGTGATGACCATGTTGCCACCACGATTTGATTTCCCGATATCAGCTACTAACTCCTGAGCTAACAAGAAATTATCTGTAACCTACCTCTCTTGGACAAACCCGCTTTGCTGTGAAGATATAATCCGGGGTAATGTCATCGCCAATCTTGCCGATAACATCTTGGAGATGATTTTGTTAGTAAAGTTGCACAGACTGATCGGCCGAAAATGATTAAAATCTTGGGGGTTCTCTACTTTTGGCAGCAACACAATTGAGATAGCCGTGATACTCCTAGGTAGTTCAGCACCGCATAAAAAGCTGACAACCGCGCGGTATAAATCCGATGCCACCACCTCTCAAGCAAAGGTAAAGAATTTCCCTGTAAACCCGTCCGAGCCTGCTGCACTCTCTCCATCCATAGCAAAGACTATGTCTTTAACTTCTGTAAGAGATGGAATATCCATTAACCGTGAGTTTTCCTGGTCCGTTATCAGTTTAGGTATGATCTCCAGACCGGTAAGGGAGGGAAGATCCCCCTCTGCCATGAAAAGCTCCTTAAAGAAACCCACCGCCGCCTCCCCAATTTGGCATTCCCCTCGATTCACTCGCCAGCGGTACCCCTGACTCAATGAATTACTGCCCTACGTCTCCTTTCCGTAACCAAGGAGTGGAATTAGTTGGTGTTCCTATCTCCGTCCGAAAGCCACTTCACCCGCGCCTTTTGTCTCCAAAAACCCTCCTCAACTACAAGCGCTTGGCGCAACCGAGTCCGAGCATGATGTAACTCGCTCCGTCCCTGCTCAGTAGGATCCAGGTCGTATGCTATCTCAACCTCGGTTACCACACGCTCTGCACTACGTGCCCTTTCAAAAATATCCCCGAATGTCGTCCTAGACCATTGCTTGAGGGCATTTTTAACATTCTTTAACTTCGAGACCAATACTTGCAAAAGAGAGCCATAGACTGGATGAGTCCAATAATCTTTGATAACCCTCAACAAACCAGGATGAGTGGTCCAGACGTTTAAGAAACGAAACGGCCTGGGTTTATTGTCTAGCCTCGTATCCACCGATAGCAACAAGGGAGCATGATCCGACGGGTCACGGCCTAAATGTTGCACCATGAATTGGTACGGAAGCTCCAAAGCACGCCCACACAAAAGTAAGCGATCCAGATGCTTCCAGATTCGCGCCGTTCCCGAACGATTATTACACCGGGTATACCTTGACCCAGAGAATCCCGCATCACTGACACCGGCCAACGCCATAAAATTCAGAAAGTCTAATCCCTCCGACGGTCTCAATGGCAATCCGTCCCTCTTGTCCTCGGTATTTGTGATCACATTAAAATCCCCCACCAAAAACCAAGGGTTGAAGGCGGGTTTATCCCGCAAAAGTGCATTCCACAAATCCTCTCTGTCCTGCTCCGTACACTTCGCGTGTATACAAGACAAAATAATGAAGCCTTGGAAAAGATGAGATTGAACTCTAATAGTTAAATGTTAGGGAGACTCCCCAGTAATCTGACACGTAAACAACGACCGTAGAAAAGCCAAACAGAACCGCAATGATTGAACATGCAACAATCCATCCCCAATTTAATTCTAATATCAGAAATCGACTCTACCCTCAACTTAGATTCAACAACAACCACCAATTGAAGATCATACAGTTTAATAATTTTCCTTAACCATCTTAAATTAGGAGCACGAGCTATCCCTCTTATATTCCAAAAAAGTAACTTAATCATCAGAGAGGACAGAAAAAGAATTTGTTGAAGAACTAACCATGGAGCGTAGTGTTCTATCTGACGGGAGACCAGCCTGGAGACCACGCGACCTTGCATCCATTCGCCCCTTACGAACCACTTCTTCCTGTTCCAGGGTACCAGAAACCGCCCCCGTGTCTATATGCCCGATCTCTAGTGATGACTCGTCCTGTCGGACAAGATCCTTGCCCCTAAGAGAGAGGTTACCGACCCTTCGTTGAGTATCCTGTATGTCTTCAACTTGCCCCTCAGCAGAATGCACGACCACCCTCGCGAGCAACCCACTCCCTGCATCCTCAGAACCTTCCTCTCCTTTCTCACGTCGCAGCACCACCTCGATACCTTCTACCGCCACCGTCCCACAGTCTGCCTCCATTTTTCTCTCCTGTTGCGCTGGTATAAGGTCCCCTTGCTCAGGTTCGTGAGACGTACCACCTAGTGACTGATCGTGAGCAACTAGCTCTTTGCCAGCCACAGTCCCATTAACTTCTCCCTTTGCCCCATCAATCGCTGCCGCATCTTGCATCAACACCAATGGCCTTTCTCCATTACCCTCCGAAGGCCCATCAGGCATGTCTATATTCGACATCTCTGCCAACCGTAGTTGTGTTGTTCCAGTAGTCCTGGCATGGTGACCAGAGGCTCCTCGCAACTCGGGCTTTAAAACATGACAATTCTCCACATCGTGACCTTGGCGGAAACAATGTGAGCAGTACCTTGGAAGGTTCTCCACCACCAACTCTTGCCAAAAACCAGTGTGATTTCCATTGCCAATCCAAACCAGCGACGGTGTCGACCGCAACAAATCCATCTCAACACACACCCGTGCCACACTTGGCCGTGACACCGCAAGGGTAGCCGTATCAACCAGCAAAGGGTTACCTACCATAGAAGCAATCTGAAAAATCACCTCCTTATTGAAAAAGTGCAGCGGGAGTTTTGGTAATTGAAGCCACAGCGGAACCACCGACGACTCCCTGTCAACATGGAAGTCCGTGGTCCATTTGAATACTCTCATGGGGAAGGAAGACACATACCAGATCCTCCTAAACCATACATGATGGAAATCAGCTTCCTTGTTCAACTGAATTAACATATGTCTTACGTCCAACAAGCCCACCACCGGGTTCTCAGGTAAATCTAGCGATGCAATGAACTTCCTCACCTCCTCCAACTTCGGTCTACCTCTAGAGAATTTCCCAATCAATGCGAAACGAAATGGACTGGCCAGAGCTTCGACCGCTGCCTGTGGGAAAATCAACGCAGGTTCCCCTTTGTATGTAGCCTCCTGTGCCACAAAGGATAGAGTCAGCTGCTGTGAATTCTTCGTGAACAACTCTGAAAAGGATTTACGTTGAAAGGTGGAGGGGGCAGGCTGCCCTCCATCAAGAGGCTAGAGGGCAGCCATGGACTGCCGCACCACTGCCCAAGCCGCTCCTTGGAAACCTTAGCACCAAATCCTTACCTTTTGATTTTGGAAAGAATGTAGAACCTTTTCTATTGAACCGGAATGAACTTCACCTTTGGCTAGAAAACCAAATCCATGCTACTATTTCCAAGGCTAGTTTACTCTTTAGGCATTATGTCAAACATGTGGTATACATGACTTAAGTTCCTCTATTTCTTGAAGTTTAGTAGAATATAAACCCTAAAATTTTCCAACAAACAAAGGATGAAAAGAAAAAAAGATGATAGGAATACTAAAGAACTCAATTATGCTTGAAAAATACAAATTAAATTGAAAGCTAGTCAGTAACTTTTGTTGTCTACGAATGAAAAAACAACGAGAAATGAAGGAAGCTTTGTATAACCGTCCAAGGAAAGTGAAATTAGAGATTAGAGATGGCGGGATGAAAGAAGTTGATTAGGCCCTGTAACTATCACTTTCGATTGTTTCCATCAGCACCACTGTGTAAAGTTCTATCCACTATTTTGGTGAATTATCAAATTTGCTGGAATTACTTCATACTAGATATTTTAACAGGATAATTGAATGATGTTTCCCTTTGTTTAAAAGAAACAAAAGAGTTTTAGGAATGTCTAGGGATTTGGATTGGAGAGGATAGTGTTACCTGCTGAAACTCCTTGCTGACTTCAAAGTGGCTGTATCATGGCTGTATCATGACTTCAAACTCCTTGAACATGGCTGTATCTGTGACGCTCCGAAAGAATAAGTGTGAGAACCCGAAAATTTTTATATATTTTCTAGACTTTATTTTATTTTCTTGTCTATAATTTTGTACCTTTCTTCAATATATTAATTTTCTATACATTTTTATAAAGGAATATAGTTTTCAAATCATTTCCTTGATACAAGTTAGTCCACGTTAAGTTTAAAGAGTATTAAGGACGTGGGGCCCGCTACTGCGGTTAGTCGGGTACAATTTTGGCGATTAATTGAAGCTTTGTATAAAAGGATGTTATTTTATAAGGTGATTAGTGATAATTAGGGATTAGCTAGGTGGATTAGTGTTAGAAGATTAGGAGGTTGGAGGACATTCTAGAAAGCCAAGTGGCTTGAAACCATTGCAAGTTCGACCTTTGACCAAGACCATGATTTCTTCTTCTTATCTTGACCAAACCTTTTGTTTTCATCATTTCTTCTTTTTGTAAGCATGATGGACGAAATTTTGAGAGAGAAAAGGGAGAGAAAACACAAAAACATTCAGCCTTGATCTCTTGCTTAAATCATGAAGAATCCAACGAAAAATCCTAATCTACACCGATCAATCTTGAGGTAAGCTTTGAGAGAAGCTTTTGGTGAAGTTTTAGAAGAAGAAAATCTTTCATCCCTCTTGATTTGCTTGTCACCTTTGGATTTAGAGGTAAAGAGGTGCATATGGCAAGAAACTCTCTCTCTACTTCCAATAATTGTAAATTAGTGGCTTATAGTTACAATTTTGGGTAGTATTATGCAATATTTCATGGTTGGAAGAAGTGATATGGAAATTTTCAATTTTATTGGTGAATTTTCTGCCCATATATGAAGCTTAAAGGTTGGCCATGATTCACTAGCTTTGATATGTGAAATATCTAGTGTTTATGTGTTAGTTTGTTTTGCCTAAAGAAATTTCCAGCTTGGATGCATAAATTCCAGTTTAGGGTTTCCATATGACCCTGTTCTGCCTGTTTTTGTTCGAGTATGTTAGAGATAGAATAAGCCTTAGAACAAAACATGAAAGTTGTATAGAATGGTGTTTTATAGTTGCCTACAAAATTTCAGCTCAATCGGAGCAATGTAGCCTGTGAAAAGACCGAAATACCC